GGGGGGTTCCGTCAGTCACTAACACAAAAACAAACCAAACATAATTTATGACATCAGGTCACACGAATTTCAATTCCTGGATGGCGGTCCAGAGTTAATCCCACTTCCACGCCGGATTTCCAAAAAAAGGGGGCTGACTGGCAAAAAGGACGACAACACCGGAATGAGGAAATTGTCGAGAGGCAAAGCCATGTGCAAAACAAAGTTGCTCATCGCTGATAACCATACCACCTGATGAGCCAGAGGGTCACTCCATTCAAGTCTCCCAGAGGTGGTCCGCTTCTCCGTCCCTTGTCTCCGAGACGTCCAGCAGACAAACAGCCACGAGCTCCCTGCCCTGCACCCAGTGATGTCTGTCCTCCTCATCACAGTGTTGTCCTCACTCCTAGTGCGCGATGCTGCGGCGTGGGGCGCCAATGTCAAGTACGCGGTGAACTGCCCCGACCGGTGCAACGTGGAGCGGTGCGGCGGGACGCAGCGTTGCACACGGACGGTGCTGGATGACTGCGGCTGTTGCCAGGTCTGCGCAGCCGGCAGAGGAGAACACTGTTACCGCACGGTGTCGGGGATGCACGGGGTGAAGTGCGGACCGGGATTATTCTGCGAGTTCTACAAAGACGAGGACGATTATGGAGACGAATATGGCATTTGCAAAGGTATACATTCACATTCAACATTTTTGTCTGTGCCCTACAGTGTGCTGTTTCTACCTGTGTGCTGCGTTTTGTGTATGTGATGCCCCGTTGCACCAAATGCACTATCCCAGCTTGTTATTTCAGTCTATTTAAGGCTCATATTTATAGAATTATCACAATGGAAATTGCCACATAAGTAATGGTTTTAAATGCACATTTGCAGACATATACAAATTGGACATTTAACTTGATATTTAGCCCATAGAGGCTTGGAGTTGAGACATTCAAACATGAATGCTTGTGCAACTACCCACTTGCAGTTTACACATTTATCTTAATCACTGATTTAGATAATTATTTTGACTGTGAATATGAATCTTTGACACTATAGAATATGGCCCCGTATCAGATCCAGTCAGACTAACCCTTCTGCATGACAGGGCAGATAAATCTAAAGCCATGTTTTCTTTCTTTACAGACTGTCTGTATGGAACCTATGGGATTGAGTGCCGCAAGACATGCAGCTGCAAAGGTGGCATATGTGACAGGGAGACTGGAGCTTGTCTCACGCTCAAATTCTTTGCCAAAATCGCCGGCAAACTCAAGACTGATCCTCAAGAAGGTAAAAAAAAAATGAAGATTGTTCATAATGTCATTTGTGAAATTGTCCACTTGCATGAATTGGTAGAGTAATGGATTCTCTCACTTGTATTTTCAGGGGGAGAGGTGGGCTCAGGAGAGGTCAGCACTGCCCAGAACACAGATCAACATAAGGACAGATCCGCCGCTCCGAAGCGGCTCAACCCTCGCTGACAAGTGCTGACAAGACTGAATCTATTCAGTGTAAATGTAGCATTAACTTATAAATGAACTGAAAGATATATTTTATTATGTTAAACAATGAGAAACTTTTTTACAGCATTTGGAAGTTTTGTTTTGTTTGTTTGCTACTCGTCTGACTCAAGCATCTTTTCTAATGAAATACACAGGACTATGTTATTCTCTTCAAATTCTCTTTTTCTCTGTTCTTCTGTCTGCTTCTCAAGATTAACCCGGAGTGTGTCCCCTTGAGCTGCAGTGTAGACCTCATTTAGTGTGCCTTCATACATTATTGTTGAGAAAAAGAAAAGTTAATGTCACAAGAAAAGGACCTTGCATTTATTTTCAAACTGGACACGGCAACATTTATCATGGATTCATTGTAGTCCACTGAATATTTTGAAGTTTTCCATCATGATATCTTATTTGTACTGTATTTATGAAAAGCGGACATGGAAAATATCATGTATGTGACACCTGCCAATGTAAAGAATGCACTCACAATTAAACCAAAGTTATCACGGACTCGTTTAATTTTGTTTCATTGACTAAAAGTGGAAGCTGTTCAGTCAAAACGAGACGCATATTGTTTTATCTTGTTATATTAAGTTGCATGTTTTGTGTCTGTCTTTTAACATCTTGGGACCATGTTGGAATGAATGTTCTCACTTAAACATGTTATAGATTGATCCATAAATAACTCAAATCAAATCAAATGTTTGCTGACTTTGAGTAAGAAGACTGAAGAGGATCTATGACATGTGCGCTTTAGAACCAGCGTGCTTATAATACAGTATTTCTAGAAGAATTTGACATATCTACATGTTGCAGAGACAAGTTGCATCTTTGAAAAAATAATTTGCCCAGAAACTGAGGCAAACTAAATTCTGAATAGGAATTTCTGTGGGAAAAAAAGGAGGAGAAAAAATTGATATTCCCGGGATGATATTAGAGGGATTTATTTATGGGAGGTTGAAAAGGCTTCTCTGAACAGCATAGAAATGTCTGGATAGAAATATGTCTTCTGAGTAGAAGGAATTCTTATTTCCCATGATGATGTGAAGTGGTATCGTACGTCCAAACTCATGAGCAGAGATTGCTGAGAACTTATCAGGCATGCTTGACTCTTAATTCTTGGAACAATCTACTTACTCAACTTCCACAAATGGCCAAATATTCTTTGTTCCCATGCAAAAAAACATTTGTCAGTCATGGAAAAGATACTCTCACCACAAATAGCATGAGAAGAAATGAAGTGCAAAGACTGGATTTACTGGGTTTACTCGCTGTACAAAAGATCACAGACGGGAGAGACTTTGGGGAAGTTTCTCATCCAATGCAGCAACAGAGAGAAACTTCTCAGCTCAGCTTTGCCTTCATAGCTGAACCAAAATACATCCACTGCAGACAGGACTTACATTTGTCAACATGGGAGGAAAAAGCATGAATACAAATGATTTCAATTTTGAGACATTTGGTTTTTCTTGAGAAATGCACATTTTAACATTTCCTACCTGCAGGACAACATTCATAAAAGCCAATCAATCAATGCTACTTTACCAAATGAAAGAATAACAAGTACTCATGTCTGCATAAAGAATACATCCTTCAGATAATATTTTAATATAATGAAGTCACAAATCCTTCAATAATCTATTGCCTTTGAAATACAGGACAATAACTTTGTCCTGTAAATCATGTTGTATTTCAATGAACATGTTGATCACAGATTACTTTAATTATAAGTTGTGATCTTCAGAAATACATTATCTGAGTTTATAATGCATTTTGTAAAGATACTCAACAAAGTTACATTGTGATCTACTGACCTTTAAAAAAATGAAATATGTGCATAAATTGGTCTGTGATAAATGTTAATGGTAATCAGTTAATGACAATATTAAATATTCATCATCTTTGTAATTTTGACTTTCTAAAAGTTGAAACATAATTCCAGATTGATGCTTTTTCTCTCAAGTCCCCTTTAATATTCTGTATCACCCCACAGAATTAAAGTGCGACACATCAAAATCATATCATTCAACGTTTTGTCAGAATTTGGTCCCAGCTAAAAATATCCTTATTAGCCTCACCTCTGACTCTTACAAAAAATGTTTTCCAGTATTCAGCTTGTTTATTTCCTGTGCTTCCTGACACCTGTGAAAATGTCCCTTCTTCCTGTTGTTGTTGTGTCTGCCCAGGACAGGAATTTAAAAGCAAGGTTTTTTTTTCTTCTCCAAGAGACAGTCTTGAAAAAGCAACAAAGGCTCCGTCCTCTTGTCGAGAAATCAAGGAGGACACTTCCACTCCACTTTGTTATTTTATCCGATTTATATTCAAATGAAAGCTCAACACTAAATCCCATCAACGAACAAGCTGCCCCTGAGTCAAATTCCAAATTTGAATGTACTTGATGAGTGTTAGTGACAAAGTGTTATTTTATAACTGTGATCCTCAATGTGTTTTCAAATCATCTCTTCAGTAAACAAAGTGGGAAATGACAAGTTTTAAATTTGGCCGGAAAACGTACTTTTTGCTTTTGAAAAACCATAAGTTGCAGCTTCTGCATCAAACTTTAAGTGAATGTAGGTTATTTCTTTCTCCTCATTTTCACGTTCAATATGAATGATTATGAATTCAAACCAGATCATTTTTGTATATTAATATATACATAGTAGTATTCAAAGGCGTATAATGTTTTCTGAAACAGACATAATTCACATGAATTTACTGTATCACCTCAATCCAAGGACAAGGTGACGCACACACACACACACACACACACACACACACACACACACACACACAGTGATGCGAACAGGTATGGGAGCAGTCTGTGTATGAGGAGGAGGAGTTTTCATAAGCGCTCAAATGTTGCTCTCGTTCCCCTGAGAACGGACAGGCCGAGGCCTCGCAACCAAACAAAGGAGCCTGGAAAACAACAGGAAAGCGTTGGTGAGAAATACCCTTTATCTGACTCCCTGAACACGTCACTGCCGCCTCTGCAGAAACAAAGGTGCGTGAATGGAGTAGTAAATAACACTGATTTACTGCAAATAGATGTTCTGGTATTTACAGTTTGGCCCCGCCTCAACAGGTTGTTTATTGTAGCTGTGTAGACTGACATGGCTCAACGGAGACAACACGTAAACACTGTGAACAAGGACATTAAGCGGTGAGATTGATTACATTGATGGCAGATATCTAAACTGAGGCTTATGAACAAGGAGCACTTTGACTCTCAGGCTGTCATGTCATTTAATTCAAAAATGTGAGGCGGTCTAATTAACTCTTTGACTCCTTTTTCCCCCACTCCTTTTTTAAAATAGTTCTCAGGAACAACAAGAGTCTGGAGCCTCGACCTCAGCGACCTGACAGATTTCTGTCCCCTGGAGGGATTGTCTTGTTTCTTGTCAATCAGGAGGTTCATCCTCACACATCAGAATTAGCATATAACTGAATTAGCATAACTGTCAAATGTGATTTGTCTTTACCTGTTAAATGGCGGGAGCTTAAAAAATTCCTCTCTGTGACTTTGTCTTTTTTTCTGTGTTATTCCCTGCAACATGAACAGCACAAATACTTTTCTTTTTACACATCCTGCTATTTCTACTACGCACAAAATAGAAATCAGAGAAAACACTGAGCCAATAACTTTGAGACTGTGACACTGAGTACAATATCATGTCATGTGATCATATCCACACAAGGCAAATTATCATTTCTGACTATTGGGATGAAACCTGTTATGATGGGATGTTTTTAGAAAGTAGTTGCAAGCAGACATTAGTCAAAGGGTGCTATAAGGGCTAATTGCTGAATTATAATACTAAAACATATAATTTTTTCACAAAGCTGTGAAATTATACAGTGATTTAGACAGGATTAGGTTTTTGAAATGAGTGTACATATTTGTGAGTGCCTGTTTGGCTGTAACACATGGACCTCTGGTGGCTCCTTGATGGTATTGTATCATATAGTTATTTTGCATTTATTTTCCATCAGTTTGTCTTGAGGCAGTGTTGCAATACGAGCTTTTACATTCGCTGTCTGTATTTGGGTTTAAGTCTCTGTCTATTTATAACAAGTCTAATAAAGATTTTACAGCACTGGCCCAATGTTAATTGTAGGCTACTGCCATAGTGCCTTACAACGTAATATAAATAACTTCCTCAAACAGAATATTAAAGATGTGAGTGCTAATGTTTGTGTAGAGTTACAGTTTAACTATAAATAGGCTTGTTTATATGTTCCCAATCCAAACGTTTTAGAAGTAACCACTAGAGAGCAATGTTGCGTCAAGAAAAAGAAGGAGATGATCTTTGGTGTGAAGGAAAACATACTGACTGAAGAAAACAAATCTATTTTATCAACCTCTAATGGAAAATGAGACTATTGCAGTAGTAAATAATGGACTTTATATAGGAGCAAAGTAAAATAACTGAGGACTGAAAATAAAGCATTGTTACCATGCCGTAAGTAGAGGGTAAGTGATGTTTGCAGTTTACATAAGTCAATGTTAACTGGATTTTTTAATTAAATGCAGACAGAAGGAAGGAGGAAGGGCGGTGTTTTTGCAATGACCTTTCAAAACAACAGCAAGTTAAAGAGAAGGAGCTGCAACATATTTTTCTGTCTCTGTTGAGGTCAAGACACAGAATGGAGCAGACAGTGACGTGTACAAAATAATGTGCTGTAGAGAGTGACCCTGACCTCCAGAAGCAACAGAGTGTAGTCCCTCACACAGACGCTTACCATTAACAATCGTACTCAAGATGATGACCTCTCACTTCTTACCTGAACCTTTACAGCTGGCTTACAGTGGATTTTCAATCTTTTTCCGTTTGTATTTTATGCTTTCAGAGAGTCGACAGTAGAAAGCTGACATTAGATAAGGATTGGGGTGACATGCAGTAAAGTTTCCCACCCAGACACAAAGAGGGTTAATGGTTCAGGGAGCCAATTTTATGTTTTTATTCAATATTTTGAGTTGTGCTGCTGATGGTCTTGCGACTAAAAACTTTTTTTTGGTCACTGTTTGGCTATTAAACCTGCAATAGCTGATTTGTCCACGTAGAGGAATCAGAAACTATAGTTTAAAACACAACACTGCTATGTTATCACCTAATTTAAGTTGACACTTGCTGTATTTACACATCCAGCAGATATGGAGAAACATTACCATTCATGTTTGTGCCCACCTGATGATTGTAAGTCAAGTATGCACTCTCTTCTTTTAGCTCGTTTGCTCTCCACCATCTCCTGAGTGACATATCTGCCTCTTTAGTTGCTCAATGCTCCGTTATGTTCACCGGCTGGTCGATCACTTTGACTGTCTGCTGTTTGATGTTGGGTTTTTAAAGCTTTTTCATTGAAAATAAATGTGCCTGCTGCGTCCAAAAAGGATGCTGATGAAAGCATGGAATTGCAGGCAGTAAAGCCAAAAACAATGAGCTGAAAGAAGCTATAAAGCTCCGTCCAGGCGCTGCAGAGTCAGGTGATAACTATCTAAGTACAGAGCAGTAATGGATACCACATGTTAATATAGCATTATTAGAAG